TGTATTTATAGTTTATTCACTAGGCATGATGCTAGAAAAAGCTAATAGTAAACTAAAATACTATGTTGTCATAAACTTTTGTGGATACTTATTATACTGTCATCATTATTTTTCCTCCTTGAGGTGACATGAATAGTACAATATCTACATGACGTGCTGCTCTGTTAGTTTAGGTCATTATGTTAGAGTCACTTGAGGACAAGCCTTGCAATTCCAAGTAGTCAATTTGATACCAAGAAGCCTACTAAGTGACTAGTTGATGGATGGTGTGCACAGCCTGGGTATACAGACTACAGGGTTAGTCCCATTCCAGGAAAAATGAGAAGAAACAAGAGTTTTTTTGTTTGTTTCTGTTTTCACAACACTGAAAATAGTGTGTCATTTAAAACTTATGAATTTTTCATGTCTGTAAATTTCTATTTAATATTTGAGGACTGCAATTGGCCACAGGTAACTGAAACAGTTCTAAGAGGGGAACTGTTGATGGGGGAGCCAGATAGTATTTGCTTAGTGAAGGCATTCATGAAATTTATACTGTCCCAAGTTGAAAGTTACCTCCTCATTGCCACTGAATGTTTTGCATCGTTATGACACTTTTCATATTGAAGCCATGATTGCATTCATGCATACACCTCTCTCTCCTCCACATGAAAAAAATTGAGATTAAAAACTGAGTTTTATCACTCTTAGGTGTCTTGTATTATTCTTCATGTATAGCCTGTGCTAGCATGAATGAGTGAGTTATTTTTGTTTTGTTCATTTATTTCATGGCAACTAGTGAAAATATGAACAATTCATTTGGGCCCACTCAAGAATAAAAGTCACATGGACCTAGAAGAGTGGATTATTCAGGTGCATAAAATAGTATTTGGATACACTAAGCCAAGAGAAATCTCATCACTGGAAACTGGCATCTTAGTACACCATTTTCAAGAAAAAAATATATCCTCTCACAACCTAAGACTCAGTCTAATCTTAGCACCAGAAAGCTGAAACCTCCTCACTGGAGAATAAGTAAGTTTCAATTTTTAATAGATGATAAACTGTCACAGAACTAGGAGTATCAAATGAGCCCAAGCATTAACCATTTTTGAGAGTCAGCAAAGGGGCATGTGGGGAGAGGGTTAGGGTTTGGCCTCCAGTCAGGTATTGGCAGCAACAACTGCTCATGTCTATGAAGGCAGCCCTTGCTCTCCCTAGTCAGAGAAGAGATTGATGTTACAAGCTTTAGTAACTAAGAGCTCTCAGATGAGTGGGAATGGTGGATAGTCTACCAGACAGGGTAACTGAGGAGGCCTCCACTCTCTTCCGGAGATGATTCAGAATGCTATAGAGCAAGGTGATGAGTTGGGTCATTTCTGATTTATAAGTGGACCAGGAAATTTCAAATTGAATTACAGCATTGAATCGAGAGGCTACATTGCATCTATTAAGACAAAAAATGGAGGTCTTCCTAGGGGCTACATTTGAAGGTACTACATTTCAGAGCACTATGAACAAATTTTATGCATGTAAATCTAGAAGGAGCTGGGTTGGGCTCTCATAGGAGATGATGAAAGGTGAGATTACATGAAGCTGAAACTTTGCCTGACCTGATAAACCTCAGCAACTTAAGAAAGAGAACTTTGTCTGTCTGCACTCAGCCTCACTAACATTATCATGGCAAAAGGAATTTCTCACATCGCAGGCTGGGCAAGCCAAATATGGTCTTCATGCAGCAGCATTCTGTACTTGAGCTTACACAGGCACGTCTGCTTTCCAAGAGTGTTTCAGAGAACTGGGATACGGCTTTGTGGATTTTTATTCTTTCTTTTTGAAATTTGATATACTTTGAGTATTGTTTCAAATTCATCATCTCTTTACTTTCAGTATGATCTTATTAGTTTGTTACTAAGCAGAGGGTGAAGAACTGAAACCACATGCTTGGATAGTAGCTAAGATATTTGGAAAGATGGCAGTGTGGTTGTACGCTCACGACCCCTCTCCTGGCCAGTGTTCCACCCAAAAGATTCAGATAGTAGAGCAACAAGCTCAGTGAGCATCGAAGATACAGCCTCAAAACCAAACAGGCATGCACCTTACTCTTTTAGACTCAGGCAGAAGACAGGAGCACCTGGATGGGTGGAAGACTGATCCATTAGCTCTGGTAGCAACTAAGAGTCCCAGCTCCCTGACTGGGTCCAAACAGTAAAACCAAGGCTATCCTTCAGCCTGGAGAAAATACACCTCTCAGTTTTTAGTGAGAACACTAATAGCCCTTGAGAGGAACTGGAACCCTGAGTCAAATTGCTGTCTGTCCACACTGCTGAGAACTGGAAGAGCCCACCACGCCCCTCCTTACTAGTAACACTAGGGCTTCAGTCTACCTCCCACAGATTCAGGGAGGCATTTTGACTCTTAGGTGAAATTTTAAATGATAACAAGGGGAGAAAAGATAACCTTGTGCACCCAGGTCAGGAAGTGCAAAGTGGAAAATTGGAAATTGATATTTTTCCATATGGAAATCCAAAGCACACAACACTTCCTTGAAAGAATATTTCTAAATTATAAATTGACATAGAATAGGACCTTCACACCTCATTTTTAGGAACCCACTAAAATCTAAAAGGAGTAAATGAAGATAAATATGTCAGAATGCCAACTGTGTTACTGACATTCAAAAATCTCATGGGGGTTGGTGTGATAATTCAACTGGGCTTCTACTAATTTAGATGTAAAAGGTTAGTTTCTGAGTACTCACATACAGTGATCCTGTATTTGAATATAAAGTTTTCTGCACATATAAGTTTCTCTACTTAGTGAAATGAGAGTCCACAGATAGACACAGTCAGGTTCTATGGCCTTGAAAGGCCCGTGATTAGAAGGAAGGGATGGCTATTAATTTTACCTCATTCACATCTGAGTTATCTGATGGTTATAATGGGCATATATTTGAAATATTTGTATATTTTCTCAAACATCTTACATTTAAAAACATAAGAGAAAAATAGGTTTCTATGTTTTTTTTAATCTACTGATGTTAGTTCAGATGCCACTCAATTTTTAAATACCACTTTGTTGTCTCATAAAGCAACCCCAGATTTTTCTCCAAACAAGTCCTTCTTTATCTCCCAAGGGTATCATCACTATCATCTAAACAGAATAAAATGAAATTTCTTCTCCATGTGTGCACTGGAACCATCTGGAAGGTTGTGAAAAGCCACTGCCCCACTTCATCGTCAAGGGAAATAAGTCTGGGTGAAGACTGGGAAGGTGTACTGGTTTCCCAGTGAAGTTGGTGGTGCTGGCCTCAGGATAGTACTTACAGAACCACTGCTTTAAAAAATATTTTTAAATATTTAAAAATATCCCTTGTGACAGAAATGGCTAAAACTTCTAGAAGCAAAAAAAACTTCATTGACAGGAAGTCTTCTATTGTTAATATGACCCCAAAGCTAAGTGTTCAAGACACGAGGCTACAGAGTGTTCACTATCGTGTACCTCAGAAACCAAATCTGACTTTCTGTGTGGACTGGTACCATTTTCCTGGAGTAAGTTTCAGAGAAAGGATCCTTTTTACATCATACTGTGTCTACTGGGAGGTTCAGCAAAGCTTTTCCTTCAGTTTGGGTTTGATGCTATTGTTCGACACCATTTCAGGAGACCTAAAAGTACTTGCAAGCAAAGTAGCCTCCTCCTCTCCCATGTCCTCAAATCCTAGTCTTTGGGCTCTTCCCATCCCATTATATTGTACAGTATAATTGCATGGCCATTGCAGATACACTTTCAAATTGTATGTTTACTTTGTGAAAGCAATTGCTTTAAGGAAACCAGAGGTCAAACTTGTAGTTGGTTAACAGATCTGAGAAAAAGAGGCTTTGCTCTCCTCACTCATCTTGCTTGCTCCAAGCTCACTGTTTCTTAACACTGTCTCTTAGCTATTCTACTCTGGAGAGGACCAAGCTTGCCTGGATGAATCTAACTTACTTTTGTTCCCAAACTAAACCTCCCCGATTTTGAATATTTAACCATCTTGATACAAATTCACAGCAGGTTATTAAAGGGAACATAGCTTTAAAAGATAATTTCTTCCCATTCAATCTGTGTTTTACATGGACGTTTTTAAACTCAGAAACCTTCATGTAAGGGAATACACTTCCAACAATGGAGTGTCACAATCAGTTGCAGCCCAGAGAGAAAGAGTATCAGAGCAGTTTCCCAGTATACTCACATCACAGTACATCAGCTTAAGATGCTGTGAGAGCTGTGCTTGTGACCATGGGAGCTATGCTCTCCTTTGAAAGACTCCAAAAACATCCCTATTTAAGAAGGAAGTGAGTGTTACCCTACATAGTAAAAAGTCATCCTTATGTTGTTATCCCAAGAGCTGGACCCACGCTAGCCTATTTCCTACAGCTAGAAGTAACATTTAATTATGGCTAAGAAACCCTTTGGCTATAGCTCTGTAAGTAGAGAGCATGATTACAGTTCAACAAATAGCCAAGGGTAATATGGTTAAGTTAGGTTCTAGGGCCTTGTGGCTAGATCAGAGGTAGGAGTGTAACAGGTCAGATCTTGTAGAGAAATAACAGAGTGCCTCTCTTTTGTAATCAGGACTGGATGTGAAGGGTGAGGGATGGATGTTGAACTCTCTAAAATGGCTATATTGTTTTATAAAACTAGCTCTTTTATATGTACAATCTATAATTTATAAGCCAATCAGGTTTCATTTTTCTTGTATTTCTTATAAAAATATAAATATGTTTATTTTTACTAATTACCTTACCTTGAAAAATCCAAGACCATCTTAGCTTGGCAGTGGGAATCATGACTATTTGCTTTGCTCAGACTACATTAGATATCTGGAAATAAGAATGTTCATGACCATGACCATAACCATCAGGGGACAGTAAATCAGGGGAAGTCACACTAAGCCTCTAGACTCAGAAATGTCTTTGGTAGAACAGAAATCATTCACATTATTGAACATATTTACAAATTTTGGCAGTGTTCTATTTTACCTTTGTAAACAAAAGGATCAAGAGCCCCTTCAGGGGTCTTTGGCAACTGCTTCAGACAGGAAGTAAAATATTCTGCCTCACTTTTAGAAGCACAGAACTCAGTAAGAACTGACCAGTTTACCCTTCTGGCTTGACCTAGAAAAGGAGAGGAAATTTTTATTTACACAGACTGAATAGAAAGTAACCCCAATCTCAAGAAAATGGCAATTACTGTCAAAATTTATGGCAATTGGGCTGGTGAGATAGCTTAGGGATTACAAATAGTTGCTACCCAACCTTGACAACCTGGGGCCCACAAACTCTTTCAAGCTGGTCTTCTGACCTCTACTTATACTCTATAACATGTATGTACACCCTCCACATACCAAATACATGAATACAGGTAAAAAATTTATAAATAAATGACACTGCACTTCTGCATGTAAAGATACATTATCACTCATGATTTTCATTCTTACTTTTTTCAGTTAATATTTATTTGGATTGTTTTTTCTCAGATAAAAACCCAAAGATAAACTAAACTATAAATGATATATAAATCAAAACCTTTGTTGTACTCACGTAGATCTATAAATGTGTTTTCATTTGAGGTCACAATTCTATAATTTTTGCATGCCTGCATCTAGATCCATCTAGAAGAAAAACTTTCTAGACATTGAAGGCTTTCATATCACATGCACTACTAACTAGCATCCCAAGTCACCTGAATCTGTGGCACTGATCACGTAGGTTCTGCCCATTGCAAATATTTGTCTCAGGCCACACCCACAGAGATACTGTAATTTATAACTTTATGAGAAAAATAAAAATCATTTTCAGAGCACAATTGAAGCTGCTTTAGGGAATGAGAGCGATAAAGGGTTTTCCCATATTGATAAATATTTCATTGCATTCAGTGGATTACAGAACAGCAAGGCTCTGATATTGACTTTCAGTTCGTCTTCAGTGAGAAATGCCTCAGGGATCACTATGGTCAAAAGAACATACTCTGGGTTTCACAAATTACTTTATGTACCACAGCAGTCAAAGAATACTGACTGTGTGTTAGGCCATGAGCTACTGTAGATACAATTATGCAAAATAGAGGTATGAGAACAAGTAAAAGTGAAAGACATGTTTTTCTAAGTATGGACTAACAGTTTTGCAAGTATTCTTTCAAAAGACCTTCAAGAGAATCCTAGAGACACATCTGCCATTCTCCTTGTTTTACAAGAGAGAAAAAGAGCACAGGAAATGGAGTCAATTGACCATTTTTTAACACATTTAGTGCCCACCTGAATCTGTTGCATGTAAAGGATTGTTTTGCTGGGGTTATCCCTAAAAATACAACTATCAACAGTTAGATAGTTATTACAAACAGCAACAACAAACACCAAGCACATTCTGGAAAACAGCAGGCATTGCCTGTGATTTGGAAGAGTAGAAAAGCCTGTTCATTCTATCAGGGATATAAAATGGTACAGCCATGGTGCAAATTGGAAGGCAATTCCTCACCAAATTCTAACACAAGATTACTACCCTGCAGTTACCATTTGGAAATGTACCTAAAAGGAGTGAGTGGAGACTTCAGATACTAGTGCACATTAGAACAAACCAGTGATTTCTGCCAGATACATGAGAAAGTGAAGTGTGATATATATATGGCCTTTAAAAGAGGGAAATGCACTTCAGCATATGCTAAGTAAAAGTAAGCCAGGCCCCAAAGGACCAACACTGACACTGCTCACATGTGGACCTGGAATTACCACATTCACAGAGAGTCATCACCGGAGTCTGGGGAAAGGAGAGATGGGAGTTCAATGGGTGGAAAGTGAGACTTTTGGAGAAAAACGGTGGTGAGTGTCACACAGTAATGTGAATGTCCTTCATAACACAGAAATTTTTAGTCAGACGTGTTTCCCAGGCAAATTGAATTGTATCACATAAGTATCAAAATAAAAAAAATAGTGTCTGTGAACCTTAGAAATTAGAGCTAGATAAGTATCATTCTCAAGTCAGCGTCCTCTCTCAGGATTTCGGTAATGCTCGTAGTCTGTGGAACTCCACCTGACCCAGGAAGTACAGCAGTTGGTAGGCAAACCAGATGATAATGACCTTGACTAGGTATATTTACAAATTTGATGTAAGTATGTATTAGTATAAATATGTCTGTAGGTGCGTTAGGATTATGGATGTAGACTGAGTACATAGTCCACAGGCTTAAACATCGTATTTCAGAATGACATCGTTCTGCCGAAGTCTGTTTGCTTTCAGCACTCTATTGCGCCACCTTACATAATTATGAAGCATTAAAGTAAGGTAAGGAGAATCAGTAACTAGACGGAAAGGAACATAGGCAACTGTGCCGAGGAGGCTGGAGAGTAAAGGGCCCAGTTAAGGCTCACTCTGACCTTAATTGGAAGGCATGGTCTTGTTTTATGTTTTTATTAGCACTTTCAGAAAATTAACACAGCCTCCTCTGCCTCCCAGCACAGGTAATTTTGTGCCTGGTCCATCTGCCTACACTGATCAGTACTGACACAAAAGATTCATTTTTTTCCTTCCTTCCTTCCTTCCTTCCTTCCTTCCTTCCTTCCTTCCTTCCTTCCTTTTTCTGTCCTCCCTCCTTTACTTTGTCTCTTTTATCCTTTTCCTTCCATCTTTCCTAACTTTTTTCTTCTGAAGAGAATAATTACAAGAAATGCTCTGAGCAAATAGAAAAATTAAAATAATTAAAGTAAACGTTGGCAGGAATGGATCTGAAAATAAAACAGGGGGTTAGAGAGATGGCTTAGTGTTTAATAGCACTTGTTTTTGCAGAGAACCAAGGTTTGATTCTCAGCACCTAAAAGTTGGTTTACAACTGTCCATAATTCAGTTCCAGGTAATCAGAGGCCCACCACAAGCATCAGACAGACAGACAGACATACATATATACTTACATATATAAAATAAATAAATCTAAAATATTTTTAAAAGGTCAAAGCATTTCCATGGAAATCTCACGTGCTCTAAATGAGCCCCATGTTCCATCTAAGAGAACAGAAAGACAGCTCAGGCAAGATGGAGGACCTAAGGCTGGTTTTGAGGCCCTGTGGAGACTTCGAAGAGCTATTGTATGGGCACATGCCAAACTAAATTTCAAAACAGGATTGTAGCAAGCAGTTAGCTGCAGAGCAGTGAACTTGGTATACATTTACACAACACTATAAAACAAAACATCCAAAGGATAGTGCTTATTATGCAGGAAACGGTCAATAAAATAATATGATTGTTATCTTATCAGTTTGCAATATATAAAAAGCTTACAGGATCCAATAATAAAAAACAGAGTTACACTTGAACACCAGAATGTAAACAGATTTTTATCAACTAGATTAGAGTAGGACTTAAAAATTTGGTAAAGATCTACAATATGTGGAAAGTTGTTATTGAGGATGGTGTGTCACATGCCACCCTGTGTTTTAGACCGGTCACCCTGGACATCCATCGTCTCAAGTAGGTCTCTAATCTTCTCTAAGTTTTTTATTGACACTTCACCCTTGACCACAATTCTCAGTACAGTAACCTCAAATGTAGGCTCATAAGTCCCTTCCCTTCACTTGAGTGATTTTGTAATCCTAGAAGAAGGGATAGATATCTAAAGGAATGTTAAACCCATAGAGTTTGTGTTAGTTAAGTTCAAGAATTTAATGTTTACAATCACTGAAGCAAGCCATTAAGGTTTGGAAAGCCTAGAAATGCAAAACAGAGCCTAACATGTCAAAAAATTAGATGAATGAGAGCCAGTGAACTGGATCAGCAGGCTAAGGAACTTGCCACCAAGCCCTATGACCTGGGTTAGATCCACAGGAAGACCCTCATGGCAGAACACCTGTTAAGTTGTCCTCTGACCTCTATGTATGTGCTGTAGCATGCTCCACTCCTCATCTAAATATTAAATAAAAGTAATTTAAAGGGAAAATTAGATGAATGAACTACCTGGTTTTCGTTTTTAAGAAACAATACTGTTTTCTTGTCTCTACACAAGGCTAGAAGCCACATAATTAATATACTGATCTTGTTTTCTTTTGGCTTTTTGAGACAAGACCTCACTGCATATTCTGGGCTAGGTTTGAGCTTGAACTCCTGCCTCAGCTTCCTGAATGCTAGGATTACAGAATTACTGCAGCATACAGAAATTGCTCTATTTTACCAACATTTCCTTAACTATTAACATTCCTTTGCCAAATTCAAGTTTGTAATAGACTAACTTGAAAAACATTTGGGATGCCTGAGAGGTTATGATAGACTAGATTTGTTACTTACATAGTTTATAGTACTTAAAAAACTTAAGTCTATTAGTGACATTGGTTGGGGAATGAGTGTTGAATTAACCAAGAGATAAGTGTAACTAATCAATCACATCCCTTCCCCAAATTTCAAGATTTTCTAAAGACTTGTTCATTAAACATAAAGCTTTGTACCTTTGATATTGAGAAATAGGTAGAATTCTGTTTATAGATGACAGACAGAACCCTGTGTTACTTACAGCTCCAGAGAAGACTGCTGGCCAGGCCACACAGTGGATTCCTCCTGAGGATAAGTACAGCAATATGGAGGAGTAGGAAGCAGCCTATATACAGTAGGCAGGGTGGGGTAAGGTAGGGGCCCAGGTTCGCTGATTTGAATAATACTGGTGGTCTGTGGGGTTCAGTGACTGCCCCAAGTTGTCTGTTGCCTGACCTAAGAATGATTAGGGTAGATAATAATGGGCCCCACAACATGAGACCCTGATAAGGGAAGTAGTTGGGGTGTGGACTTAATCAGCTATTCAAGAAAAGAAACTGCCTTGTCACTGTCAGGGTCTCAAAACAACTTCAAGAAGTCTAGGAAGTAAAGAAGCACACACACACATAGCTCTATGTGATACTGAGTCCTAGATATCTTGATATCAGTTTCAAACTCAATTACTTTGGAAATAGTTGAGTGTTTTGAGTGGGAGGGCCTCCTGAAGAATACGGAAATAGTTTCTAGAATGGAGAAAAAACAGTCACTTTTCTAAGATTGAATAGATGAGCACAGAAAACATTCTAATGTGACAGTCAAAGAAAATGACCAAGCAGAAACATGAGGTAACTGAAGCTTGACTGGCAGTTAGTTTTAGTATTTGGTGT